TCTTTCCTTACTTGGCCAATCTTTACAAATTAGCTGTCCAATATTGGAGCCACTAACTGCCTGTGGCTGCTTAAATTTAAGCTAATTAAATTTAAATAAAATTAAAAATTCAGCTTCTCTATTGCATTGGCTATATCTCAAGTGCTCAACAGTCGCATGGGTTCGTGGCTCCCAAATTGGACATTGCAGATAGAGAACGTCTTCATCACCACAGGAAGTTCTGTTGGACAGAGCTGTTTTAGGGCAGAGGGACCAGCTCTGTTGTGTTGCTGTATCCCTAATACCTGCTTGGCACATGGTAACTATCAGGCGGATACACCAATGTCTTCCTGGCTTCAGTCCATATTTCCTGAAACCACATGAGTTACTAGGGCTGCCCAGACTCATATGCAAAATCTTCATGAATTGATGACATCGTTGGTCACTCTCTTCACTGGCTTCATGGAGGCCACTTAGGCATCACAGCAGAGGGTAGGGTGTGCTGGGGGAAGTCTTCCCAGTGATCCTACTCCCACCTGTCTTTATTCTGAGGCTTCTGTAATCTCTTGACTTATCCTTTCTGCTGGCTTATGATTTTGGCTGTGTATTACATGAGAAAAAAACTGTCTCTTGCAAACCAGCAACAAGAAATAGTAATTCAGAGAGCCTCTCATGACTTTAGGACTGTGCCAACTGTTCCGGAGTCTGTAGAAGTTCAATCTTGGCTTCACTGTCTAAAAGCAGCCACTCTCACTGGCCTCTGAAACACAGTGTTAGAATCCATAGCACCCATGGAAGAGCCGTTCCAGTGAGGGCTGTGTTCTGTGGGGAAGGGCTCTGTGACACAGGACTTCAGGTCTGGGCTCAGTGCCACCAGACGCCATGGGTTTGCCTCTTGAATTGTGTGAACACTAAGTCCTTTTCAACATAAAATTACCCCGGGCTTTGCTGTTCCCTTTCCTACTTGTTAATGAATATCAGCCTTGTCTTCCTGGCTGGATTGTATGTAAACCTTGAGGGCAGGGTCAGTACCTTTCTTAGCCCTCTCAGCACAGGGCTGATCCTATGATAGATATAGATTGATACTTTGTAAGAGAAATTTTTGGGGTGCTATTTTATCCTTTTTCTTGTCTATATGATAGGGAACAGGTGATGTCTTTTCCAGTTCTTCATATACTATAATTGGGTACCTTGGGTACCTCTTTATCCCCAATTATTTTTTCTGTTCTTGATTTCAGAATGTGTTGTGTTGTCTTTATCGCTACAGGAATAAACAAATTCATCTGGTAACATCTGTGATTTTCAAATGAGTAAAAGGAATTTTCAAGGCAGGGTGATGGGTTTCGGAAGCACAGTTCCATCACACAAGTCCAGGGGGTGCCTTCATGTGTCTTTTACACTATTATTGGCTCTTACCCTTCGGGCTTTACCTGTGGTACTCCCGAAGGCACAATAGCATGGGGTAGGTGACTCTTCAAGGTCTCTAGTCTCTGTGACTCTAGAACATTCTATTCACAAATTCCATATAAGATGCTGCCAGCTTCCCACTAAACCCCAGATCACTGTCACTAATTGAAGTAAATATCACATACGTCAAGATGACTAATATGTTGATGCAAGTTGAAGGGAAGGAGGAAAGATTACGGGCAACTCTTCTCACTCTGGGACTATTCTGAAGAGTGAGACAATCCTTCCCTATCCTTCCTCATTAAAGAGCAGTGGAGGTCAAATACCAGCTGGCTCACACCAATGCATCTCAGCCTTTGGTCTTATCCCCACCATCTGGGCTTGCTGTATTTCTCCTAACGCAATATGAAGAGTCTGATTTAATAGGCCAGGGGAAATTCACCCCCTGTAACAAAATATTTTTTATTGGTCAGCCCCTAACTCTTGAAATGAACTAGTAGCCTTTTTGTGTTTGTGTGTATATCAAATAATTTTTCCTCCAAACAATTCAAAATGGGCTCAAAACTGACATTGGAAATCAGGATCATTGTTACCCGTGGGGGATGTCATTGATCTGGAGAAGGAACAGGGAGTCTCTGAGCTGCTGGTAATGTTTTATCTCTGCATCTAGGTGTTCCTTTTATAAAAGATTTATGGGGATTTACAATTAGGATTTTGTACATCTCTCCATATGTTTATAATGCTTCAAAATAAAGTTTATTTTAAACAGTTTTTAGTGGACTTGGGAAGCATTCACAGATTTTTATTTTATTTATTTATTTATTTATTTTATTTTATTTTATTTTTTGAGACAGAGTTTCGTTCGCTCTTGTCTCCCAGGCTGGAGTACAATGACGCAGTCTCGGCTCACTGCAACCTCCACCTCCCAGGCTCAAGCAATTCTCCTGCCTCAGCCTCCCAGATAGCTGGGATTACAGGTGTGTGCCACCACACCTGGCTAATTTTTGTAGTTTTAGTAGAGATAGGGTTTCACCATGCTGTTTCACCATGTTGGCCAGGCTGGACTCGAACTCCTGACCTCAGGCGATCCACCCACATTGGCCTCCCAAAGCGCTGGGATTACAGGTGTGAGCCACCGTGCCCAGCCAGATATTTTTAACTTAATTAAAACAGGTAGGTGAGTTTATTTCCAGAAGAGAGTTAGCAGTATGCAGAGACTCCTGGATACGGGGTGGGAGAAGAGCAGATGACACGGGGGTGAAGGGGCATGTTTATCTTGGAGCTTTAGCCTGCCCAGGTTCTTCTGAATGCCCAGTGTAAGTCCGTACTAAATTGGATACTTTTTCCTCAATTCCATTTCCATTCTCTATTAAAGATGTAAGAGAAGTGAGCATATTGCAAAGAAGACCGGAATGGAAACTATTTTCTTTGGTTCAGGTGCAGACCTGGTAACCGAAGAAGGTGGTTCTCTTGGGCAATTTGCTTCAGGGAAAGTAGGAGCCAGCCCTTTCTTTGGAAAGCAAACCATGGGTGATTTTTTTCTAGCATGACCCTAGCTCCAGTTAGATGAGAGGAGACCAATAAACTGGGCTCACCTGGGTACTAGATGTACAAAGCTCTGCGTTTATATGTTGGGAGAGAGAAGAGGTACAGAGTTTAGCTGAGGAATTCCCCACCTCTCTCTCCCCACAGCTGCTTCATCCCCTCTCCTACCTGTTCCTTTCTCCATGACAAACACACAGGATCATGGGACCAGCAACCTACTTGCATGTCAGCAGATCTCCGGCTTCCCTTCTGGTGGATGAGTCAGCAGCTCTCACAGGTTTCCAGGTAGCTTCTGAGAAACACTGAAGTTGGATAGGTGATTTCCATGTGCACCCTGGCAAGACCGCCTTGTGGAGGAATGCAAATGGAGTAAGCCTTTAGGAAGATGCTGGTTTGGTTCTCAGGCGTTCTCATTCATGTTGCGTGTAAAATGGTTATTATGTCCTCAAGTGGAGTCCCATCTGTTTCTTCTGTGCCAGTCAGGTCCAAAATTTGAGACTGAAGAAATACCAATAACTCCTTCATCTTGGTGGTATCTTTTGTAGTTTTTCTCCTTCAAAGACATCAGTATTGGGCTGATAGCAGGTGCACTAAGGGCCGCGAGGTCCAATCATCCTTGAGGACTCCTGGACTTCTGCTTTGTTTCCATGGAATAAATGAGCTTTCTGACAACAGGTTCACATTCTCCTCTTGTGCCTGGTCTCTGACTCAGAAGAGAAATGGAACCAAATCTCAGCACTGCACAGAGTCTGTTTCCCACTATTTTATGGCAGTTATTTCACAACTGTCTTTGGGTCTTGTCTATTCTTCCTTCCTGTTCCAGAGATTTTCCTCAGAGACAGATACTGAAAAAAATGTCTTGTTTTCTAAGCAATGTCAGCATAAAAGCAAATTGTGTCAGATGTAACCGTTATTGGAGCTGGTAGTTAAAGTATTACCCCTCTGCATTTATAAAGCAGTTTGCATGGCACTTTTACAAGCTTCACCTCATTTGATTCCCCTAACAGCCCTATGAGGTAGTAGGCGTTGCCCCCTTTTACAGAAGACGACTTTGTGCCTCAAAAAGTTTGCATGACCCATTTGAGGTCACACAGCTGTTCTTATTACTCCCAGTAAAGTGCTCTATTTTTTTCTATGGTGCTTATTATTAAATAAATTCTAAGCTCAGCAATCAAAATAGGAAGCCGATTGTGAGGTTTGTGTTAAGATCTGGTTACATTACTGTCTACAGTGAAGCACACATTTTGGAAAGACTCCCAAGTCTAGAGCTGTCCGGTGGAGACCAGTGTTCCTCTTTGTTGGTGCCCCTCTTGCCTCCTGACTGTGGGGGCTCCTCAGCTTGTCGTCAGACTCATCTGCAGAGCAGGAAGCCTTGAGTTACTGAGGAATAGTGAAAGGAGCTTGAACCTTGAAAGCCTTGTGCAGTTTCCTTAAGCCCCCATGTTTCCAAGTTCAGTTTTGCAACCTTAACATTTACTGAACTGCTATATTGACTCTGGAGACCCTATTGCAATAAACTGACATAGAATCAGAGATCCAGAAAGAGCCTAATGGTAGGTGAGACTATGAGCCAGGCCCTCTTCTAAGACCTTTGCCTATATTAACTCATTTACTCTTCATAGCAACCCTTGATTTATCCTATTTTTCAGCTGAGAAATTAAAAACTCAGCCAGTCACTTGCTCCCTGTTGCATGGAGGAGTTATTTAGTTTGAACCCAGTTTAATTCCCTAGTCTGAGCCCCTGATCACTTTAATGTGATGCCCCAAGCAGTCCGTCTAGGTCAGTTCCTTTGTTACATAGACTTAGCGTTGAGATCCTGAGAGTTAAACCTGGATTCTTAGGGGATCATTGACAAAGCAGTTTTCTGAGCACCTCAAATGGGCACTAAACATTTTCCTAAAATGACAAGAGAGTTGTAGGTTAGAGCACTTCTAGACCTAACCTCTAAAAGGAGTTACTCATTGGCCAGTGTTCTGTAGCATGTCACTGATTTTCATATCTGTGAAATGAGAACGTCCCCCTTTCCCTAGAAACTGACAGAGAGCTTTCTGCCGTAGGCCCCTGAAACTCAGTCTCAGATCAAGGACTTTGTATTATGTTTCTTCGTTTTCTTGAGTGAAGAGTGCCATTAAACACTCAGTTGTGTGAATATGTGGCTGGGCTACACCCATGCAGGCAAATGTTCTAAAAGTTGTCAATGGAGTGTGGGACATAGGTCCCAACTCCATAATAGAACAACTGGGAAACACTGGATCTTCATTTGGGATCCATAGATACCCAGCAATGGGTTTTAGAGGAATCTGTGAACCTAAAGAATTGTAGGCTGCATTTCGGATTCATGTGTACATGTGTACTTTTTTCAATAAGGTCACAAAGGGATCTGTGACTCCCAAATATTTAGTAACGATGACTATAAAGGTATTTCACTAAATTATTTGCATGTAACTCTTCTATGAGATCAAACAGCAGACTCTGAAAGTACTGGTCTTAGGAGTTTTAGAGATACTCATAAGCTGTAGAATTTTTCACTTTGCTTTTTGTATGTATACAGAATTGGTTAAAATAAACTTTCTTGTTGAATGTATTTACAGACTGGATTTTTCCAACTACCACATGGAGACTTTTTCATTGAACCCGTGAAGAAGCACCCACTGGTTGAGGGAGGGTACCACCCGCACATCGTTTACAGGAGGCAGAAAGTTCCAGAAACCAAGGAGCCAACCTGTGGATTAAACGGTATTGTGACTCACATGTCCTCCTGGGTGGAGGAATCTGTTTTGTTCTTTTGGTTGTTTTATTAAAATATGACCTATTCTTATTCAAGTCTCTTATCTCCTCTGTATTCTTTTTTAAAAATATCTTCATGACATTCAAATCTCTTCTGTATTCTGTTGCCAGAAAGTGTACATTCTTGTTAGTTGTATAAACCCTTTCACTTGTCAATACTCGAGTCTCTGCATATTCTTAATGAGAAGGAAATGAAAGCATCTTTGCCACATTAATTGATGATACTTATAAGACATTTATAATGAATTAAAAAAAAAAACTCTTCTGAATAGTGTAGAGGAAAATGGTTAAAATAAAGATGTAATGATTTTCAGTATTAGCAGTGTTATAATACATTAGTATGGAATATTACCAGACAGCTTGTCACGTCTGCATATGGAAGGCAGATTTAAATGTTTGATGATGCTGATAATAATGTGTGAAGAAAAACTGAAGAAATTATCAGCACATTGTCAGATGATGAATTCAGTAAAGCCTCTTTCGGCTACACAGTGTCGTGTCTGCAGTTTGCTGAGCTGCGTTCCCTGTCCTTAAGCCCCAAGAATGATCTGAATTGGTCCTCTTGGCCTTGTCCCAAATAATTTCAGGTAGTTTTCAGAAGTAAACTGATGCAAGTCACTTCCTTGCAACTCCCACATTCTTCTTAGTGTGTAGGAGATAATAAACTATGCATTTGTTTATCATGATTGGGAATCGGGACAGTTTCTTAAATATTATATAATATCTCCTTTCTTCAGAGAAGAAAACGATGCCAGAGGGGCCGTTAACAAAAGGAATCCCTAACATTATTTATGTGTCTTGAAGATTTGGAAACTATAGACCTCAAAGGGAAAACAGATGATGAGGGAGTGAGGAAAGGTAGATTCTGAAAAGGGCAGGAGGGACTCAGAACTGGAGCTTTGCAAATAGGAGAATGAAAGGACAAGGGGACAAGCGACTTCCCTACAGACTTCACCCAGACCCTATGCCAGATAGCAACTTCCCTGGGAGTTTCTTCTATCATCTTAGCACAGCATGTAAGCAATAAGAAACTTTTGAGTCTAAAATGTTTTCTGTACACAAAAACAGACAACTGCTTTAAATTGTTAACTTCAGTAAGTTACTGCAGCTTTTTTCTAAATTAGATAACTTACTGGCTAAATCCTCTAAAAAGTACCAAGAAAAGGGATGAAATATATCATGTGGCTGATTTGAGTGATGAAGGTATCAATACAGATAAGTTAGTCTCAATGTGAATATCTAGCGTCCTCTTGTTTGTCGTTGATCCATCACCTGGATAATTGCCCAGTTCTATTACACTCTGGGTGATGGGGAACACTTTGTGATCTGGTACCTTTTAAATCCCTAGAATGTCAATACGGTGGAGAAAGTTACTAGCATAGTGAGTGAACTTGGCTGGACACTCGCTCCTGTAGGCATCCTTGCTCTGTGAAATGAGTGAGGCTATTCCTCATCTACCCACCTTGAACACCTCTCTCTTGTAAGTCCCCTATTGAGGCAGAGTTAATTACAAATGAATTGAGAATAGCAAATATTTAGTCATGAAAACAGAAGGGATGGATTGGAAAAGAGTGGGGTTTACAAATATCAAGGCCCCCTATTAAGGCATGGGCAACTCCACAATTACGTTTGTCATCCCATTTCATGTTGTGCTTCTAGGCCAGTCTCAAGACTTTCCACTTCTAAAGAACCTTCTCTGATTAATGCCATACAATCTTTGCCTTGCTAATTTCTCCACCAGATGGGATTTCTCCACCAGATAGAATTTCCACCAGCTGTAATTTCTCCACCTTTGTATCTTGAGGTACTAAGCAAGTATGAGAGAGTATCTGGTAGAGAAATTCACAAAAAAGACATTCTTTTACATCTGCTTAGTACCCCAGAGTGTCAGAATTGAAGAGCTCTACTAAAAGAACCTTTGAGGGTGCCTTATGTAGCTTCCTTCCTTCTTTCACCAAAGAGATAGTTGTGTCTCAGAGAAGGGAAAGAATTGTCAAAAGCATCAGAGTAATTGGTGTCAGAATATAGCCAAGCTCATGAGTCACAGTTCTATTCTACCTGAAACTTTATACGGTCTCCGGTTTACTTTTTAAGTCTTCCTTGAATATAAACCTTGTTTCGTCAATAATTCTCACAAGTCCTATTAGAATAGGTATTCCCTCCCCAGTCAGGGTGTAACAGAGGGTTCAGTGCAAAGTAGGAATTCAGTAAGTCATCAAAAAGGAACTGACAAAGGGTATTTCATAGCCAAGAAGATGAAGCTAGAGTGTATTAGTGTCTAATATATATGTCACTCATGGAAAGAAAAAAGAAACATGCCTTTTCCAAATATTAAGGAAGTATCAACTGTGTGTGATCATTTCTCTTCCTCCGACAATACGTGTAATGCATAGCTACTGTTTAAACAGTAGGTAGAGATTCAAGAATTGTTAATGTGCTTGTGACTATTCTTAAACCACACATGACGTTTAAAATGTTTAAATCTTGATATAATGAAATGTTCTTGGCCTTGCTAAACCAGGTCATTGCAGTGTTCTTATACTATATTGCCCTGCAGAGAGGACAGAATTAACTGACAGTAGTGGTATCATTAACCAACATTAAAGTACATTTCATGCAGGTCAGTTGATGTTGCCAGACTGAATCACTGTGATTATACGAAGAAAAGATCACCTTTACCATATATAAAGCATTTTGCTTTTGTAACGTTCAAAGAGGAACACTCTAGATATTGAAGAAAGATGTAATTTAAAAGTACCCCAGTGCTTCAAGAGAGAAAAAACATCAATTCATTTCTCCTAAAATCAGTCCTTTCACTCATTTTTATTTCCCACATAGAAAGGTGCCCAAGTGTCACAATATGTCCCTTATCAATGTGACTTAATTTCTATTTTTCAGGCCTTTAATGTGATGCTATTTTGTTTTTGATTTACTCAATTTTAGCTACATTTTCTTAAGTTGTTTTGCTAGTTTTGTTTGCTTTTCTAAGCCTTACGTTTGATAAGCCCTGCTGAAATTCTTGTTTCCTCTAAGATCGACTTTCTAGAATCTACGGTAAACAGTGGGAAAATATAGCTTGCCTGAATTAAATCCAGGGGAAATTTCAAAACCTCGTTTTATCAGCGGAGACAAGCTCCTTTCTCTAAGGCTTTTTGGTGAGAACATGATCACACTGGGATTTGAGTGGTGTTAGATGGAAGTCTCTGTGGGAACTTTTGTTCCAGAAATCTGGGGAAGAAGAATGAACACTGGTCAGATCAATCAGATGAGAACAGATACTGGGTCATCTATGGCAGAAAAGGGTCCTGGCAGGTAAGGTTGGAGTCTGGGATTTCATGCATTAGGACTCTAGGCTAGAAAAACAGGGTCTGGCTCCTGGCATACATGCTTGTGTTCAAAATATATTCATTCATTCAACAAATATCCATGAGGTATCTTCTTTGCACCAGGTTTTTCCTAGGGTGTTTGGGTAGAATTGTAAATAGAATATAGCTCTTTGTCTGAAGCACTGACAGCTTGGGTACAGGACATGAGTAAGTAGAGATCTAGCCCTGGCTTTATCTTTATAATATATAGTAAGACCAACAAGAGATTTGGAATCTTAAGGACAGTTTTGTAACTTTTTGCTACACAATATTGGGTTGCTAGGACATGTAGCTATAATTCATTCATCTTCTCTTCTGTAGAATTTCCATCTCATGGTTCTTTCACACTCGATCCAGTCTCCTTTGAGTAGATCTGAACTGCTTGCAGGCTTGGGCTATTATACATTATGTTGAAAAGAACCTTCTTGTCCATATTTCCTAGTACACAGGTTCATAGATATTCCAGTACTGGGTTCATTCCACCCAGTGGTGGAATGAAATTAGTAACCAATGAGATAAATATGTCTATGACTTTAACAGATAATGCAAAATTGTTCAAGAGCAGTGAACGAGAGTTTCCATTTTCCCATATTCTATCTAGTACTTGGCATTCTCACTTTTACATGTAGTTAGTCTGGTGAATATGAAGTGGTATCTCAATATGTTTAATGTTAAAATCACACATATCCTGTTGTGAATTTGGGCCCTAATCTACGGGCCCTAAATCTAAGGCTTGTGGCTATAGATTCTTAATTAACAGTTGTCTCCCCTGGACCTAGAGTCAAGGCCCACTTTGTTTGCTTAGTTTACTTACTTTGCTTGTTTTCTGGTTTCCTTTTTCACTTAGTCCCTAGACTGACTTTTCACCCTATGAGTTCTAATGTCTTTTTTCCCCAGAGCAAAAATAGGGAGCAACAGATATCCCAGATGAGCTACCAGTGCCATGTGCCAGTCAAGGTTCAATCAGATAAGAACAACCAGTAGGAAATATATATTAAGAAATTCGTTGTAAGAAATTGGCTCATGCAATAGTGGGGGCTGACTCGGCAAGTCCCAAATTCATGGGCAGGCCAGCCAAAAGGTCAGGCTAGAACTCTCGGGCACAGGCTGAAACCGCTGTGCCCAAAAAAGACAACATTCCTTCTTCTGGAAAATCTCGGCTCTGCTCTAGACCCAGTTCTGCTTTTTGACTGATTAAATCAGGCATGCTACATTATGAGGAGTCATTTTCCTTGCTAACAGCCAACTGATTATAGGCTTTAATCACATCTACAAAATGCCTTCCTAGCAACACCCAGATTAGTGTTTGATTGAATAACGTGAATAACGGGGACTGCAGCCTAACCACGTTGACACGTAAAGATCATCATGCTGCATCTTTTACTTTTTCATCTGAATTGTTTTGCTTAATTTTTTTTTCTACTTTTGGCCTCTGAGGATTTCTTCTTTCTTTCATGTTTTACTATTGTTAGGGGCTTAGTACTGGAGCATGTTTAAGAATATCTGGTCTCTTGCAAGAAATCAAAGCCTCAAGTGAACTTCTTATCTAAGACATTCGGAAATTGTGAGTTGCTTTTGAAAATT